TCTAGTTCAACCACAGGCGTATGATGAAGATTGATGGAGAAAAAGCTAGCACTGAACACCAATGAATGTGAAAGTCATATGATGGAAATGAATCCTTAACTGGCATCCAGAGATTATGGTTGTTTTTCCAAAACAGACCTGAATTAAAATATGCTAACTAGCCCCACAGGGAACAGGGACACAACATTAAAGTCCTCTATATGCAAGGGAATGATTGCACAATCACAACTGTAGTGGTGGAAGATGCAATTCTCCAGTGGCATGGAAAGGACATGATGTTTCCTTTCAACATGAGAAAGGTCCAATACAAAATATTACTGATAGTAGCATTGGTCCAGCAAATAATGTCTGGAATTTTGCACACCTCTATATTTACCAGGTTCACACAAATATTCACCATTAGAAAGAGGCTCTTATATGCCTTCAGTCATGCAAACTATTGCTTACAGAAAAGTGGAAGTTTCTCTTCGGTAATTAAGGATTGAGGCAACACCTGATGTTTTGTTTACTGCCTTTAGTTTTCCATAATCCTGTCAGAATATTATGTCATGAGCTAAAATGGCTGTCTCCTAAGGACCAGTGTACTCAAGTATTCCTTAGAATTAACACTACATCACAACTTTGATTTGCACTATCAAAGACACTTTGAATTAAACTCTAGGGTTGTACATATAGGTTTGGTTGCAGACACTGTCCTACTTAAAGTCCATCAACTGAAATAATACAGGTCTAATATAAGCATCCATAGGGGTATAAATGGGGCAAGTGACAAAATATGTGTGAGGACAAACTCCTGACAAACTCTATCCTTCATATACATATATGTGATGTTATGAACCAAGTACAAAAGGAAAGAGCTTCCATCAAGACATCACAAAGCATGTTGGTTATTTTTGCATCATGATGCTTAATGATTAAGTCTTTGCTACCTTCAGTCTGTGCTATTCTAATTCAGCTTCTCTAAGTCATTGAATGAACAAGTTGTGGTGCATACCATGGACTATATCTGAAGTTAGTAACCTGAGAAGAAACTGAAGGAAGGGAAAAGAAAAAAATAACCAAGCATAACAAGAAAGCAAACAAATAAAAAAGTAATCTAAGAAATCACATACCCCTTGACTATGTGAAGATCAGTGAGTGGACTAGTTTGAAACCAGACCACTCTGGTAGCCAGTGACTAGATGAAAACTGAACATCAAGCAACA